TTATAGATGTTTAAGAAGCATTGCTCGTATACCGTGGGACAACCGAGTAAGCAATGCTGTCGTTAGGAAACGGGTGCTAGGTAAGGATAGCAAATCAATAGATGAAATAGTGAAACTTCATCATTTGAGGTGGTTGGGACATACGTTACGTATGCCTAACCACCGACTGCCTCGATGAGCTATGTTTTGTAGTGTAGGAGTAGGTTGGAAGAAAGTTAGGGGCGGTCAAACCAAAACATGGCAGAAATCCATGAAGTCAGTGACAAGTGGACTGAGTCATGTTGGTAGATGTAGAATACCTGGTTGGGATCTGTGAGACGAAAGTCACCAATGGTTAGAGACCTTGAACGACATGGCTCAAAATCGTTTGCAATGGCGCCGGTGCATCCATTCGTTGTGCTCTCTCAAATCCTAATGTTCTGGATTCGTCATCACCTCCTCTACCTTTGTCTTTCTAACCTTATCTCACTGAATTCAGTCAGTCAGTCAGATGCAACGTAGAACTTTGTATATAAGTACATCAGTTCATGTTGCCATACCACATCAGCACAGAGAAGTAATCGTCAATTCAAATCCAATAGAAGTAGAGGTAGTAAGGGAATTAGAAGTAATCGGAGAGGTTAGGATTAGAAGATATTATTCAACAAGTATGATTCAGTGAGAAAAGTTTAGAGAGTCGAAACTAGATGTGTTGAAGAATCCAGAAGATTAGAATTTGAGAGAACACAGAGAATAAATGCACCGGCGCCATTGCGAACGATTTTGAGCCATGTCATTCAAGGTCTCTAACCATCGATTATTATCATCTCGCGGACCCCAACCACGTAGTCGACAATTACCGACATGGCTCAGTCCACTAGTCAATGACTTCATGGATTTCTGCCATGTTTTGGTTTGGCCGCCCCTAACTTTCTTCCAACCTACTCCTACACTACAAAACAAGGCTCGACGAGGCAGTCGTTGGTTGGGCATACACAACACATGTCCCAAACACCTCAACTGATGAAGTTTCAATACTTCATCGATTGATCTGCCATTCTTACCTAGCACCCGATTCCTAATAACAGCGTTGCTCACTCGGTTGTCCCACGATATACGAGCAATGCTTCGAAGACACCTATGATCTCACTGAATTATACTTCTTGAAGAATATCTTCGAACCCTGGTCTTCTTCATTACGATTAATACCTCTTCTATCTTTATCACTATGGGATTTGATTTGACATTTGCGTCTCTGTGTGCTAATGTGGTGGTATGGCAACATGAACTTATGTAGTAGATACGTACGAAGTTCTACGTTGCAACTGACTGACTGACTGACTTTTTCACATTTCACAAAATTAAATTTCAACAAAATAAAAAAAGCAACAACAACAACAACTCGCTCACCTTTAATTAAATCTTGATCAATTGTAGCATGTTCATGAATCCCGATTCCATTGCGTATAACACGTAAACTTCCTTCTTTATAAGCTCCAGAACAAGTGATCAATTGATTTTGACCTTTTGTCTCTAATAAAACCATATCAACTATTGGTCCAATATTTGTATATGTTTCTAAAATAGTAATATAACTATTACGTTCAGGATCTGGATCAGGATTTAACCGTATCAATTGTGAATCACCCAGCGTTGAACCAATAAATACAACGCCATTATCTAAATAAGCTATAGATTCAGGTGTAGCAGTTTCACCTTTTAGAACAACAAAAAAAAGGTGAACAAATGTGATTTAAATTATCGGGTAAATTAATATAATATTATAAAGAATAAATTTATGAAATATTTTCATATTGTGTCTATCTATATCTGTTAAAATATTCACCAAATATCCTACGAGTACTACTATTTTTAGAAGTGTAATCCCATTGGTCAATTTCTATTGGTCAAAATTATGGTCGTTTTAACTGTCAAAGTCTAAAATACTTCAATGTTGTCTCTTATTGGTCATCCGGACTATCAATGTCATTTCAAGTGTTCTTTCCTATTGGTCGTCGTCATAAACTGTCAATGTCACAGACTTTGATGCTCTTTCCTATTCGACCTTAATGCATAAATACGCACTATCTGTAAGCCTTCAGGATTCCGATTCCAATTCCGTTTCTCTGTTCTCGACCCAATAAACAACTCCATCCCACTGTGTTGCGTTCTGATATATGGGAGATTTGTAAATAGCATTTTGGGTCGTATTGGGATATTTGAATTTGGACGCCGCTAGGACAGCCGAGTAAGCAATGCAATCGTTAGGAGACGGGTGCTAGGTATGGACGGCATATCAGTAGATGAAGCATTGAAACTTTATCAGTTTAGGTGGTTGGAACAATTGTTACGTATGCCCAACCACCGACTGACTCGACGAGCTATGTGTGCGATGTAGGAATAGGTTGGAAGAAAGCTAGAGACGGCAGACCAAAACATGGCAGAAATTCATGAAGTAACTGACTAGTGGACTGAGTTATGTTGGTAGATGTAGACTACCTGGTTGGGGTCCGCGAGACGAAGTCAACAATGGTTAGAAACCTTGAATGACATGGCTCAAAATCGTTTTCAATCGCGGCAAGTGCATCCATTCTTTGAGCTCTCTCAAATCCTAATCTTCTGGATTCGTCAACACCTCCTCTACCTTTGTCTTACTAACCTTATCTCACTGAATTATACTTCTGGAATATTATCTTCCAACCCTAGTCCTTCTTCATTACCATTAATACCTCTTACTATCCTGGAACACAGACACACATTAGACGTCCGACAATAGTCGTGTTCCTGGACCTTAAGGCGGCATTCGACTCAGTGGATCGTGAGGTTCTGTGGCAGTGTCTGTCATTGAAAGGTGTACCAAAGAAGTACATTAACCTTATACAAGCACTCTACTTCGAACACCTTGGTCGGGTGAGAGCATATGGCGAACTGTCCATCTGAATTTCTACATCAAGTGGTGTCCGTCAGGGCTATCCCCTCTCTCCATTCTTGTTAACTTTGTCGTAGACATCCTCTTAGAGTTTAACATTAAGCTCGTCAGATTTTTCAGGGGTTGACCTTCTACCAGGAAAGTCGCTTACTGATCTAGAATATGCCGATGACATAGTTGCTATTCGGTGAAGACGCTGACAAAATGCAGAGTCTTCTGACTACCATAAGCAACAATGCAAGCATGTTCGGGATGCGGTTTTCCCCGTCGAAATGCAAAATGTTGCTTCAAGACTGGGTTGCTTCGGCACCTGAACTACTGATAGGGAGTGAAGTAGTCGAGCGTGTAGATCACTTCACTTATCTGGGGAGTCTCATCAGTGCTGACGGTCTGGTGACTGACGAAATCTTCCGCTCGGATACAGAAAGCTCGATTGGCTTTTGCCAACCTGCGTCACTTATGGCGTAGGCGTGATATCCGTTCGCTAACCAAAGGGCGGGTGTACTGCGCAGCAGTTCGTTCCGTTTCTATTATATGGCTGTGAAACATGGCCGTTAAGAGTAGAAGATGTTCGTAGGTTACTAGTATTCGATCATAGATGTTTAAGAAGCATTGCTCGTATATCGTGGACAGCCGAGTAAGCAATGCTGTCATTAGGAAACGAGTACTAGGTGAGGATGGCAGATCAATAGATGAAGTGGTGAAACTTCATCAGTTGAGGTGGTTGGGACATGTGTTACGTATGCCTAACCACCGACTGCCCGACGAGCTTATGTTTTGTGGTGTAGGAGTAGGTTGGAAGAAAGTTAGGGGCGGCCAGACCAAAAACATGGCACAAATCCCATGAAGTCTCTGACAAGTGGGACTGAGTCATGTTGGTAGATGTAGACTACCTGGTTGGGGTCCGCGAGACGAAAGTCATCAATGGTTTAGAGACCTTGTAACGACATGGCTCAAAAATCGTTTGCAATGGCGCAGGTGCATCCACTTCTTTGAGCTCTCTCAAATCCTAATCTTTTGGATTCGGCAGCACCTCTACCTTGTCTTTCTAACCTTATCTCACTGAATTATATTTTTTGAATAATATCTTCAAACCCTAGTCTTCTTTATTAACATTAATACCTCCACTGTCTTTATCACTATGGGATTTGATTTGACATTTGCGTTTCTGTGCTAATAATGTGGTATGGCAACATGAACTTATGTACATACGTACGAAGTTCTACGTTGCAACTGACTGACTACTATCTTTATCACTATGGGATTTGATTTGACACTTGCGTCTTGTGTGCGATGTGGTGGTATGGCAACAGAACTTATGTAGTACATACGTAGCAAAGTTCTACGTTGCAACTGACTGACTGACTGCTAGGACTGAATAGCGATACAGTAGCAGCATTATAACAATATCAAACAAATGAAATTACTTAATGGAAGAAGCAACTAAAATACAACTGAAAACTATTCGGTAAAATAAAATAAAAAAAAGAAAGAAGTAATGAGATCCTAATCTACATACATACATACATACATACCAGAAGTTCAATTCGAATAGAACCAATACGAACTGCTGAAAGACTATCCGAATTACTTGTACCACTATTTGCTGCAGATGTATCTTCAGACAATAAATGTACCATGTATAAACGACCAGCCCATTATCACCTAATAAATAACGTTGTGCATCAACTGCAGCGTAACATAGTACTTGACTGGCCTGAAAAAAAAAAGATGAGGAATATATTCTCTTTGAATCACGAGAAATTAGTTTTACATTAAGATACAGAGAGAAAGTTTTTTTTAAAACAAAATTGAATGTAATCATGCCAACACTAATAGGAAGCCAGTTATTTTATGCGATGATATTAGAGAGTGATAGATAGGTAACCACGTAGGAAATTGTGTACCAAGACTTTTGCGTGAAAGACGGGAATATAACTAAGATAGCTATACAGAAATAAATGAAGTGATGATTGAACCTTTAAGTTAATTACTAAAATATGATAAATGATATAGACAGACAGACAGAATACAACGCAGAATTTCGTACGTAAGTACATCAGTTCAGATTTGCCATGCCCCATCAGCACAAAGATGCAACTGTCAGTTCAAATTCAGAGTGATAGTGATAGTAGAAGTATTAGCAGTAATGGAGAAGATAAGGGAAGCGAAGATATGATTCGAGAAGTACAATTCAGTGAGATAAATTTAGAAGGAGAAGGAAGGAGATTATGAAGAATGCAGAAGCTTAGAATTTCATAGAACACAAAGAGTGGATGCACCTTGCGCCATTGTAAATGATTTTGAGCCATGTCGTTCAAGGTCTCTAACCATCGGTGACTTTCGTCTCGCGGACACCAACCAGGTAGCCTACATCTACCAACATGACTCAGTCCACTTGTCAGTGACTTCATGGATTTCTGCCATGTTTTGGTTTGGCTGCTTCCAGGTTTCTAATGGTGGTCTAACAACGATGGATTCATCATTTCACTTGTAATTTAAATTAATTGATCTCTTTTGCTTCATATCTTGTTGATTTTTTCTCCCTCTCTATAATGAATACTTGTTATATATGCCAAATAACCTCAACTAGTGATATTGTCCGAGGTAGGTAAGAATAGGTTGGAAAAAGGATAAAAGAGGTCAAAAACATTGCATCAGATTGACTGAATGGTACGGCAACTTGAACAGAAATAAATATATGTCAGATTCTACATACAGATTGGTTTTCATCGGTCCCTGAACTAGTGATAGGGAGTGAAGCAGTTGAGCGTGTTGACCGCTTCACTTATCTGGGGAGTCTTATCAGTGCTTATGGCCTGGTGACTGACGAAATCTCTGCACGGATACCGAAGGATCGATTGCCTTTTGTCAACCTGCGTCACTTTGGAAGTAGGAGAGATATCCGTTTGCTGACCAAAGGACGAGTGTATTGTGCAGCAGTTCGCTCCGTCCTAATTTATAGCTGTGAAACATGGCCAGTGAGAGTAGAAGATATTCGCTGGTTACTGCTTTTTCAATCACAGGTGTCTCCGAAGCATTGCTCGAGTATCGTGGGATAGCCGAGTATGCAATGCTGTTGTTAGGAAACGAGTATTAGGTAGGGACGGCAGATCAATAGATGAAGTGGTGAAACTTCGTCAGTTGAGGTAGGTAAGACATGTGTTACGAACGCCTAACCACCGACTGCCGCGACGAGCTATGTTTTGCGAAATACGAATAGGTTGGAAGAAAGTAAGGGGCGGCCAGACCAAAACATGGCACAAATCCATGAAGCCATTGACGAGTGCACTTAGCCATGTCGGCAGTTGTCGACTACCTGGTTGGGGTCCGCGAGATGATAATAATCGATGGTTAGAGACCCTGAATGACATGGCTCAGAATCATTTGCAATGGCGCAGGTGCATTTACTCTTTGTGTTCTCTGGAATTCGAATCTTCTGAATTCCTCATCACCTCTCTCTTTCTCTTTCTAAATTTACCTCGCTAAATTATACTTCTTGAATAGCATCTTCGAACCCTAATCTCTCCGATTACGGCTAATATTTCTACTACCTCTACTCCTATAGGATTTGAATTGACAATTATATCGGTCTGTGCTAATGTGGTATGGCAACTTGAACTGCTGTAGTTACGTACGAAGTTCTACGTTGTAACTGATAGGGGAGTTTCAACAATGCCAATGGTAGTACAGAATCGATAAATGATATGGATCAGAAGCGAGGCGGGTAGTAATTCTGATGCAATCTCAATCTCCACTCTAAATAAACAAGCGTAAAATTAGGAAGCATGGAATTTATTTCAGTTGTGTTCTTACATGAATGATGATCATGACACTCATTTTAACTATTAATGATTTTGCTGTTAACTCTTAAAAATACTTTCAGTCAACTTTTATGGCACATTGTTAGTGCTCTAGTGTACCAAGCTTCCAACCAGGATGAGTAAACGAAGGAACGGGAGATCATAAACCGAAAACAATACATCAGTCCAACTGCTATCGATCTTAACTTTTATAACTGGTTATTTTTCTGACTACACTAGGAAACTTGGACTCACACACACAACTTGAGTCAATCGTCAATGATCTTTTTTGTCTAAAAGCTTACAAGTGTAGCTGCTAAGAGAAGTAGCCACTCATGGGTCAACTTAGTCAGTCAGTCAGTCAGATGCAACGTAGAACTTTGTACGTAGGTACATCAGTTCATGTTGCCATACCAAATCAGCATAAAGATATAATTGTCAATTCAAATCCAATAGTAGTAGTGGTAGTAGAAGTAATCAGAGAGGTTAGGATTAGAAGATATTATTCAAGAAGTATGATTCAGTGAGATAAGTTTAGAGAGACCAAAGTAGAGGTGTTGAAGAATCCAGAAGATTAGGATTTGAGAGAGCACAAAGAATAAATGCACCGGCGCCATTGCAAACGATTTTGAGCCATGTCATTCAGGGTCTCTAACCATCGATTATTATCATCTCGCGGACCCCAACCAGGTAGTCGACAACTGCCGACATGGCTAAGTGCACTCGTCAATGACTTCATGGATTTCTGCCATGTTTTGGTCTGGCCGCCCCTTACTTTCTTCCAACCTATTCCCGCACTACAAAACAAAGCTCGACGAGGCAGTCGGTGGTTAGGCATACGCAACACATGTCCCAACCACCTCAACTGATCAAATTTCAGCACTTCATCTATTGATCTTCCATTCTTACCTAGCACCCGATTCCTAATAGCAGCGTTGCTCACTCGGGTGTCCCACGATATACGAGTAATGCTTCGAAGACACCTATGATCGAAAACCAATAACCTACGAATATCTTCTACTCTCACTGGCCATGTTTCACAGCCATAAAGTAAGACGGAGAGAACTACTGCACAGTACACTTGTCCTTTAGTCAGCAAACGGATATCTCGCCTACGCCATAAGTGACACATGTTGGCAAAAGCCAATCGAGCCTTCTGTATCCGAGCTGAGATTTCGTCAGTCACCAGGCAATCCGCACCGAGATAAGTGAAGCAGTCTACACGTTCGACTACTTCACTCCTTATCACTAGTTCAGGTGCCGATGCAACCCAATCTTGAAGCAACATTTTACATTTCGACGGGGAAAACCGCATCCCGAACATGCTTGCATTGTTGCTTAGGGTGGTCAGAAGACTCTGCATTTTGTCAGCGTCTTTACCAAGTAGGACTATGTCAATTAGCGAGCCACCTGGTAGGTCTACTCCTGAAAATTCAGACAAGGATACGGTTATTTCTAGGAGCATGTCTATGATAAAATCAAACAAGAATGGAGAAAGTGGACATCCCTGATGGACACCACTTGAAGTAACGAATTCCGTTGACAGTTTGCCATAAGCTCTCACTCGACCAGTAGTGTTTGAGTAGAGTGCTTGTATAAGGTTAATGAATGTAATGACATGAAATGAACACTTTAGTATAGTTTAATAGCAAAGTATCTTGACTATATTTACACATATAACTCCCTTGGCTTGATCCAAACAGCTCCAAGAGGACAAAAGCTATGTCAGCATATGACTTTAAAGATCCAATAAATTTCAATCATACTACTTTGGTTACATTTTTTTAACCCACATTTCTAGATACTAAACAATTACTAGTTACGAAGTCAGCAAATAGGCTGGCTGCACTTTTATGTATGCTAACTCATCGGTGGAAGGATATTCTAATAAGATGTATTCAAACCTAACGGTCAACATAATAATGCCCGAACAATAACTTAAATAAGCTTTCAAGTTACCACAAAAAAAATTTTGACATTTGAAGAGAGATTTCAAGTGATGAGGAATCAAATCATTTAAATTGTATTACACTTGATATAACTGGATAAATTAAAGAAGCAAGTTAACAAGATGTATCACCTAACATTTAAAATAGAACACCTAAGACAGAACCTAGTTCCATGTTAGAAACAAAGTATAATAGAACTCACTTTTGCTTGTGGAATGTACTGAGATATATGGGGTCCATCTTTAGTGTGATAGCATATAATATTGTCACCGACTAGAATAACACCTCCATAAGGTTTGGGAACTGGAATAAGAAGTTTAGAATCAGGTTCTATGGAATCTAAGGTCAGTTGAACATTGCGAAGTACAGGCTCCCGTCCATATATTTCATATGTTTTCATATGTAAAACAAGTTCATCCTCATAAATCATAGCAAATGTTGGCAAACTATAGCCATATATGAAGGCCATATCAACAATGTTACCCTCTTCGATTCTTAAGATAAAATTCTATGGAGAAAATGCACTAACCTCACACTGTACGTATTTACAGTCCATTGGTTTGTATCTAAAAAATCGGTGCCAATTTTTTCCCCAATACACTGAAGTAATATGATTTTTAGAAGACCATGATACAATCGCACGACAATATAGTTGGCACCAGGATCGATCAGAACGTCAAAACCCTGATCGATTATTCGTGCACTTCTATCCTAAAATCTTTAGTATACTTGAAATATCGCAGTACTTCTACACTTCCAGAGGCAACAGTGACAAATTCAACTGAATCATTATTTCGTACACACTCAATGATAGCAACACCAGCCTTGTGAGTGAGTAAAAATAAGGAGTCTGTTTCACGATCCTGCAATTTACAAAAATTTTTTCAAACACTAACTTTTCGTCTAAATAGACTAGCAGCAACGATTTTAGCATTGATGGGCACATCTCGAATCAATTTCAGGCCCTCACATGTAACTTCAAAAACCTCGACGTAGGTGTTTTTGCATATCAGTAAGTTGAGATCATTTGGACTGGTAAAATGGCCTGAGGAAAGATTTAAACACAATCATTCTACATTACCTGTACATGTTTTTACTACAGAAGTAGGACGCTGAGTAGTCACGTGGTAAAAATGCGCCATCTACGGAATGCCTATGTTTAAAAAGAAGAGTTAATGCGCCACAAATCATAAAGGTTACTCGTTTGGCAATGTAACTAACACAAACACGTTAAGTACAGCTCACTTCCTTGGAATGTTATCAGAAAAACAGACAGGCATATAAATCCACCTTACCAGAATTATCATTTGTTTGGCACTTTGAGTCTTAGCTGTCCACTTTTCAAACTTTGCTGGTGAAAAACCACGAACAAATAATTCCTTTCATCTCGTTACTGAATTGTAAGGAGGTGGTTCCTATGCACGCTAATGTACAGTTCTTGATTTGGTTCTTCAACACTGAAAAAGAAAACACAAGGTAAATACGAAGGTTGTAGTGGCGCTTGCTTGTGCTTGCAGCATTGTGTCCTACCCACGTTAGGTGCTTCGTGATTTTACCCACTGCTGGGATCTGGTTCGTTCTTACCCATAGAAGGTCGTAGTTTTTTTATCCTGAGCCCATACCTCCGACCATTGCTCTGGTGGTACCGTCAGTCAGTCAGTCAACCTTGGCGAATGTTGGCCTGATCACCCACGCTCTTGTCAGTGCTCTCAGTCGATGTTCTGGCATAAGAATGGTTTCACACTGGTCGTTGTCATCGTTTGTGGCTCCTTCTCTCGATCTGGTTCCGTCCTACGTCTCCAGCTTTATCTGGTCCGGACCCCTACGAACGCAATCTTCAGAATCTGAATACGAGCTACTCTGGTGTGGCATGCCAATCCGATAGACAAACTTGGCACATCAACTCGAGCAGCAAACCTGGAACGTTTCTACAGGTACAGTTAAACGTAGAAGACTATCGGTGACAACATGGCCTTCATTGGTTTTTTTCCTGCTCGTCAACCCTTCCGCACTACAATCAAATGTTGGCCAACCAGCACCCTCCCCCGAACGCAGCCGCTATGTATCGAAAGTGTAAACCATGTCTAAGGGGGGGGGGCTGTTGTAGTGTAACGCCTCTACGAAGAAAATACGATTTGTGGAAAATAAACGTTATTGCACTCGTTTTGTTTAACTGTACCAAAAACACTTCTTGCGCGGAACGTTCTCTTCGCGTTGCTGCCATATTTCTAAACGCGCTGCTCCCCATGTAATGCCTACCTTCTCCTTCAATAAAATACTAAGCCATGGATTTGTTTTGATATACGTGACGGGATATTATGGAACATTTAGTGGTGATCTTAGACAATCTGGTATCTCTCACAACTAAAAGGTTATGGCTGATGGTTTCTGACCAAGGGTTCTGGCGAAATTCTCTCATTTTCGAACAACGGGAAGCGTATCACGCTCATATGATTTTGAGATCTCAAAATCAAGGGTTCTGGCGTAGAGAACTGTCAGTAAACAGTTTCATGTTGTGGATAATAGCTTTCTTTGTTTTCCAAGTCTCCGCCCCAAAATAGTAAAACTGTCTGCACATTTGTATTGAAAATCCTGACTCTGGAGTTTTTTGACAGTCCATGCTATAAACTACCTTCTGGTAGTCATTGAAGTTGATGTAAAGTGATGAATTCCACTCAATTGACTGTCCGAAAATTATCCATAGTGTCATGATTTGATTAGTACTTGATCGATACTTGCAGAACCCAGCCTGCTGATTTCGAATTCCGGCGTCTTCTGGATCTCCCAATCGGTTTAAAAACATTTGGAGAATTTTGCTAGTAGTGAGAGAAGAGTGATGCATCTGTAGTTCTCACACTTACTGAGATCTTTAGTATCGTGTGGAAATGTCCTTTTACCCGGTATGTTGGTACTTTTTCTTCATCCCAAATATTGTTGAACAAAACGTAGAACATTTTCGCAGTTACTTCTATGTCTGCTTCCAATGCCACGGTTGAACTGTTGTCTGGTCTATCTGCTCTGCCACTCTTGATTTGCCTGAAGGTCATACTGATCTCTTCAATGTTTTGCTTGGGAAGTCCATAAAGGCCGCTATAGTCAGCCAGCTAAACATTAGCCGCAACCTTCGTGTGGTCGTCAGACTGGCTTATATTGATGACATAACCGGGCTATATAGGCTGAAACATATGTTCCTTTGCTTTCTTTGCTCTTGTTCGGTTGGTATTGATTGCTATCCTCTTGTTCCTCCTTTCATGAATCTTATCCGGAGTACCAACCGTGGTCGGTTCCTTGTGATGGTACTTCTTGTAGCCAGAACCTCATCGTATGTTTAGGTGAATGCATCCTTGATCCCCTTCCAGTTGCTCGCCATGGTTGTTTCCTCTCCGTTGAGTGGATCATGAAAGGCCTGAGACCTGTTACTGAGGACTATCTTGAATTCGTTGAGTTCGCCAGTATCCTGAAGAAACGCCATATTAAACTTTTGTGAAGTTTTCCGCCCTGTTGGTCCTCACGCCCTACATGGTCCTTCTGAACTTTCTACTGGTGCAAATATGTCCAGTTTGGTTCTGAGTAATATGACCTGGTGAAACCAAAGTAGCTTTCTATATGTGTTTGTGTGTGAATCTGGCGCCGCCTATGATCAGGTTGTTGAAGTTACGAATCTCTTATCTTTTTCTTTCCTTTTTCCATTATGTCTTCATATTCAGTGTTGGCCATTCCAGCCTTGGCATTAGGTCTCCCATTAGGACGGTCGAATACTTTGATGGGCGTCTCTCTATGATTGACTGTAGCCTTTTGCAGAGTTAATCCTTAACGTCTTCATTGTAATCACTGGTGGGAGCATAGAACTAGATGACGTTCATATTTATGCCCTCTTTCTTTGTTATGAAGGATGCTTTGATGATCACCAGTCCACGAGTTTCCCACCCTTTAAGCGCCGTTTGTTCTTGTTTGGATAACATCAGTGCAACTCCTTGTGTATGTGAGGCGTTTTCTTGTTCACAGCGGGAGTATTAGAGCACTCCTTCTGAATCTAATCTTTTTTCCAACCTGTGCCCAATGTGTTCTACTGATTTCAAGCCCCGCCAAGTACTGTCGTTTCATTTCCGCAGCAACCTCAATGGTTTTTTCTGATCTCCCACATTATTCGAACACTTCATCTACCTACATTAATTGTTGATCTGGTTGTGAGAAGGAGCACCAGTCTCGCGACTACTGAAGAAACTTGGCTTTCACCATGAGGCATCATAACTGTAATAAATGACGACCTTCTAGCTCCCAGGGCAGATATTAAATTGATCAAAGTATTTGTTCCGTTAAGAGTGTTTCAGTGGGTTATTTTTCCACGAGATGGTAAGGCTAACCCCATGCCCAGCCCTACTCATTTATCTTGGCCTGAAACTGGCAGTAATCCCACTGGGATCCATGCGGAGTTAGATCTTAGTCTAAAACATCATTACTTAACAATGAGGGGGCAATTGATCGTTGAAAAACACCTTATTGTATTTCACATCTACCTTTTTGCTTCCGGTGTTGAATAAAATGTTCTATGGAAGACCCTATCAAATACAATGTTCAGAATGTTCAATCTTATTTCCGTTCTAATCTCCAGTTATAAGTGAAATTTTCCAGTTTAAACGTTAGTTTGCCATGTTGGAAATTGTATTTGAATACTGAAAGATACCCAACCTTGTATTTTTTGTATGGACAAATCAGGGGAGCAAGCAGTAAGGTTGGTGGGTAAATAAGGCCTCTCGATCATAAGACTCTCAACAGATAGCAATAAAAACAATCATTTTGTTTTTATGAAGGTAGCTTCTGCAGTTTTCATCGACATGGACAATAATTTGCAACACTGGTATATAAATTAGATACTACCGAAGTAAGCCTAGTGCGAATTTCGAATCAGTGAAGTTATATAACAGAGTGTTTGTTGTAGTATTTATTCCTAATCAGACGGTCACTCAAGCCAAAAAGATTCATGTGGGTCGTTGAACGCCTGAAGAAGACAAACAAGGATCAACGTGAAAACACTTTAACAAGATGGTATGACTTGGGCTCACAGGGGTGGTCGCTTTATGTAATCACTTCGTTTCCATATTAAATATGTTGCAACGAACAGATTTCCAGCAGAGCTAACACATATGCTTGGAACTATTGCGAGTTAACCTTGCTCGGCAAACGAGAGCGAAGACAAATGATCTAGTGACATGATTAGCTATTCTGATTCGATTGTACCCGCCCCTGCTAACTATATCAAAGGTCTTGACAAAGCGTAGAAAGTGTGTTCTACGATCACCCAGAAATATGAGGCTTTCAAACACACAAATCGAGTTTATTTATACATAATACATCAACCAATGACAGTCAAGGATTTTCCGGATGTGGAATGTAATCTCAAAGTCGACTGATCAGCTCATGCGCGAAAACACAATATCCGAAGTTGGGACCTTTCTCGAATGCGTTTTGGGGATCTAACGTCTCCAACACTCCTCTCTTTTCAATAGCGTACGTTCCTTGGGTCGACTTTCACCTTTAACTATTGTTTGCCGCAGTCGGAGAAGACAACCTCTGGGACGAAGATCAGCTTGTTGCTAGGCTTTTTCTCGTGGTGGCGCTCCCGGTTAGTTAAAGGTATCTATTAGGATGTCAAGTGGAAGATTTACTCCTACTGATGGGTGATCTGGAGTTAGCCGTTTTCGTGTCTAAGTATGACAGCGTGACCATCTATTGGCTCCTAGCTCTACTTCGTATATGACACTTCTAACTCTTCTGACCACTCGCGCACCCGTCCAAGGACCATGATTTGTCCTGTTATCCCCGGGCAAACACAGAATTTCTGCTAGGGACCTTTGCTCCGGTAACAACTCATTTGGTGTTTTTCGATAAACGTACAAGAAATTTTGTAACGCGTCAGCCGAAGTCCCCTCCCATTTGACCAAATCAATGCTCTTTTAAACGTATCCTCAAATCTTTCCGCTTGCCCAATCGACTGCGGGTGGTATGTTGGGGACCATAAGTGCTTGATGGCTAGCTGTTGACAGAAAGCTTGAAATTGAGTAGAAGTAAACTGCGACCCGTTGTCGGCTACGATCACATCTGGTAACCCGTTTCGAGATAAAATTTCTCTGAGTAGCTGTATCACTTGAGTTATCGTTGGCTGTACTTCTTTTCTGCTAGGGTTAGTGTACGGGATGCAT